TTAAATTGTTGTAACTTTTGAACGGTTCGACTACAAACGAAACGAAAATCACTACAAACAACTACAAACGATTTAGAAACGTCACCCGCTTGCAGATTTGAGATATCTCAAAGTGGGGTGCTACTCATTTTTTTAAATTTCTATAATTTTTAATGGATGGAACTACAAACGAAATTATTGTTACTACAAACAACTACAAACAAAATGCTAACTTTTTACGTAGAAAAAAATTATTTTTTCAAAAGTCGGGTGCCAGGTTCACATAGCTCTCAGTGGTCGCATATCTGCCCTTCCCTGCTCGATCATGTGAATTATTTGCGATCGCAATTACGACAGGACTGGTTATCTACGTGCCGCGACGGCGTCGACGACTCCGACAACGCCAGTAGGCTCGTAATTCGCTCGTTGCAATTGCATCTCCCACCCACTCGCGCGTCCGTTGCACCGCGCGCGACGACGGCCCCGCATGCGACCAAAGCGGTGGCGTCTCGCGACGGTCCGTGTATCGCGACGAGAGTCGTCTCTATTGTCTCTTACTTTCCACGGGACATCGTCGTGTTTCCAGAACAATCGGACGGATTGTTTGGCAAATCAGGGGAGTTACGCAAATTGCGAAATCGAGGCTGTGTGCTCAACTTTCGTGGAAAGTGTCTTTACTTGAGGTCACTTTCATACTCTCATACTTTCATACTTTCATATTTCAAGTTATTTTCATGAATATATAAACTCGAAAGTTGTTGCACAGCGCACAGTAGATCAGTGACCCGTTAAATTTAATGAAAAATACGAAAGTTCACGTAAGGTCCAAACATAACTATTGTATTTGTTCCGTCACTTTCACGTCACTACCATGAGAGCTGTTTACTTATGTCGATGTCGAGTGTGACGCTCGCAAAGTATCAGAAATACACCGATTGTATCAGGGTAATTAACTCACGACTCTCTCGTGAAGTTTCTTCATTATGCTTGATTGCTTAGAGACGTTAACTAACGGCCAATCAAGGTCACATATATCGGCGGATCCTAGTTGTTTATATGTAACGCGTGTCAATACAATGATCCTCGAAAATGATATAAAGACTTGTCAGACAATATTAGTATAACGTCCAGTTCAATATATTCTGGCACAATTATTCTTTTGTGTTGTTGTTTCTTCATTCCACGAATGAAGAAACTTGAATACGATTGATCTGAAATATCCCAGTTTCTCCTTTCCGTGCGACATCTACACAGGAATCTTTAGAACCACCACTCCGAAACTTTTGATACTACTTTTTACAGATTTTAAGTAAAGATAAGCAAATTATATTTGCAGCATATCTTTTTTTATTACGCCAATAAACACAGAGTTTTGTGTCTTTAATTTAACACACATGTACTGGGTTACAATACAAAATGTGATTCCTGTAGTGGGTTACATCCAAACGCTGGTTTAGACAATACGCATAAACGTAATCTTGAATCTACAGCACAACTCTGTTTCAAATAATCAGTTGTGTATGCATTGATTTTGGCGGTCGGTCATTACTCGCGTCTTTGACATTTGCTCGCTGATCGCAGCGCGACGAGTCATAACCTCGATCCGCACGGCATTACGTGGCCGTCGATCTCACAAAAGTATACCGTATATACATACGCGAGACAACTTTACACGTGACGGCATAGCGCGGCCATTTCACGCACGAGAAGGCGTTTACATAATAGATCAGTTAACGACGGGCGCGTAAACCCGCGGCGACGATCGACGTGCGATATTGATCCTTCTCTTCTTTTTCTTTCCCTTACACATTGACACATTTATGGCACAAAGGTCCCACCCACGAAATCCCATTAACGCGTCGCTAGGCGCGCTCCGCCAAAACTGCAAGCGCCGCTGATCGATAGCTGTCGCCTTCCCCCGTGCACACGATAGACGTGCTGCATTTCTCGAGGGGAAATCCCACACTGCAGACCCTGGTAATTGGCAAAAGGTCGGCTGCGGAAATGCTCGCTTTCGGAAACTGCGAAAAGACCAAATCATTTCGAACTCACAAAATCTGTTGTAAAAATTTCTCTGAAAAATTATTTTGTATTCCCACTAGATTTAAATTATTATATCCAACATCCAGCGACGATTTTTACACTGAGAAAAAAAATGGTTGCTCTAGTGAAAAGTGATAGTAGTAATAATGGTGTGCAACTAATACTACGTAAAATTTGTAGAGCAGATCACTATGGTGTCGGTAAGATTTTCAAATATGGCATCATCTTAACCACCCAACATGTCCAAGTCGAAATGTTGAGAGTTAACCTAACCTATGTTAAGCCTTGAATTCTACAATACAGTAGGAGCTAGGTTTAATTCTAATAAATATAATTTACTTCTACTTTGATTCTGATGATGTCCGAAATTTCCCTTTTCATTTTCTTTAGCGTCAGAATAGGTATTGAATGAAATAATAAGGCTGAAAGTAGGATCACAATTTCAACTCGGGTGCACACGATACAGTCAATATTAAGGAAACAATAACGCAGGTGTTGTTGGCCTACACTTGCTCATACATACATATATACTCGAAGGAAAGAAAAGAGATTATCTAGTCGAGAGCGTGCTTGTTTCCTGCATATATCTGGATCAATATTTCACACGTTTACTGGTGCACACAATGCACATCGTGCATCGACGTGCTGGAGGGCCCTTTGACTTGGTCTCGGGAGAGGTAATGCGACTCCGAAGTTGCGCAACGCAATAATGTTCATTGACTAACGAGATGAAATTACATGTAAATAGCGGCTTCCTTGTCCTTTCACGGGACGTAAGAATTTAACACGACGGCAATGCACTCATAACTCTAATCCCGCATCGAAGCCTGCGCCTATAGAAATTACTCTCGTCTGATCATTGAGACATTTAATATCAAAAAATTGATCGAATAATGATATTTTACCGGATAAAAAAATAATATAACAATATAGTATTGTTTTAATGATAATTTTTTTACGGTCAAAACTTCTTTAGCTTGCAATGCGAGAGTATCGACAACTTTTAACTATCTGAACTACTTTAAGATTCTCAAGAACGATTACATTAGTCTCAGTGCATTCACGTAGAAAATATTGCGGACAATTGTTAAGCGATTCTTTGTATTCCATTAGTGATGAAGAGGATTCAAATTTATGAAAATGTTTATATGTTTCCATCTTTTACTTTAGTAAAAATAATAAAAAGTTTTGTGCACACATTACCACTTTGTCTCTTATTGGTCTAATATTGTACTTAAAATATTGTTTGACTAGATAGTGGCATTAGAACTTCCTTAAGTCAGTGGAATTGGGGCACCTTGTACGTACGTGCAGACAAAATTGTGACAGTCGCCAGACACCTTCGAAGTTAACCGGATTGAAGCCTTATGCAACGATTCCGCTTACAAATCGTCCTCAAACACGAGTTCCAGCTCCAGTCGCGTAATCACATAAGCGTTGTTAATGATATTTCATACTTTTTTAAAGATATGCGGATAAGCGGATTGTAAACACATTTTTATATGTGTCTCTGTGAGGAAGAAATTATTTTCTAAAGTAAAACGATTATTAAAACAATTAGCGATTTTTATACATCTTCAGTAGCTTAACATTAGTACAAATATTCTTCTTTCATCAAAAGAACCAAACGGTCATTTTTTTATCGCAAATAGAGATGCCCAATATTTCACCAAAGTTTCGTAACATGTATGTTTGTTGAATGATAAAGCTGAAAATGTAATAATGAAGAATTTAATAATGAAGAACAATATAATATTTTCAGCTGTAGAAATGTGTAAAAATCAATAACCGATAATAACTTCTGACTACTTGGTACTTATAGATAGTCAAGTGAATCAACATGAAAATAGAGAAAATAATGAAAAATCGGCTATTCTATTAAAATAAAAGAAAATAAATAATGTATAGACAGAAAATTCAATATCTCGTTCCTTTTAGGTGAAAAATAGAATATTATTTTAAGAAACAAAATGACAGCTCGTTGCTTCTAGTGCTAAACCTTTGACCTTTGACCTTTTTGGTGTCATGGTAACGTCTGTATTTCTGTGTAAGTTTACACAGAACACAAGACAATCATTCTAAAATTTTAAATTTCAATAATGTTTTATAATTTTACTTGAATATTATAATAGTCTCATAAGAAATATGATATAATTATTTTGGTGATAATAATATGCTCTTCCGACATTTAAAAATATCATGTTCAATATTTTATACTTTCCATTTGTAAAAATTATTCTTAAATAATAAAAGCATATATTTCTCTTTGTTGAAACATATACGTAGGAAATGTATTTATGCGAGTAACTTTGTTTAACGCTATGTAATCACATTTTAAGATTTACATGTCAAAGATAAAGATATATTTAAAACAAGAATGTTCGTGTTTTCTGTGTTTGAACTGAACTAATACTGCACTGGAACTTTGTTCCTTTTCTCTTCAACGCCAGATGAAACACTTGCTTCGTTCTCTTAAAAGACGAAAAGTGCAACCTGGTTCGGCTGAAAAGAACAGATGTAAAGGAGCGCGAGATTGTGCACTCGGTAGGACGCAGGCCTCCTCTCCGCAGGGTGGAGTCGACCGTGAAAAAGCGAACATTATCTACGTCGACTGTACCGGTTGACAATCGGGACTCGAGGCACGAGTCTCTACAGGCAGAGTGTGGTTGCTTGGCAGTCGACGATCGGCAGTCGCGACGACTGTATCGCACGTAGTGTCGCGACGTTTTCGCGTCGATTCTCCCACACCATCCGGAGAGCGATAACCGCCAACAGCAACTCAGGTCAGCTCATCCGCAAATGGCCGGTTAATCGAATAATAATTTCGTATCCTGTGAAATTCTACATATATGCGAAGTATGTCGGATACACGTCTTGCACTGTGAAAAAATTAGCCACGTTATTTATTGGTGTACTCTACACATGCACACACACACACACTCTCTCTCTTTTTCTCTCTCTCTCTCTCTCTCTCTCTCTCTCTCGGCAAACAACATAATCGCCTTCGGCGAAACAGATATCTCGGTAATCCATGAAGGATGTTGTTATACACGATACTTGGTTCACGGTGATATGTATAGGGTGTCGCGAATGAAATCCGTTTATGATGGAGAGGAAAGGAATAAATTCCAAGTATATAAGTCGTTGCGTTTCTTGCGTGTTGTCGTGGTTAAACCTTGAATTATCGACATCCTCTACAGTTTTTCGAGCACGACGTTCTTGGAGTTTCCGTTCTTGGAGTCTCTTATACGTTCCAAAATCGATTTCGGAAACATTAGTTATAAGGTTGGTAGGCTTTAAACTAATCTAGATACGTTCCGTAAACGATCAGCTGATTCACGCGATTAGTTCTACAAAACTACTTTTGTTTATGGAATTATTTTCTACCAATTATAACAGCTGTCGAATCTTCTCGAAGTCTCCGGTCATAAAGTCGATCGCGTGAATCAGCTGATCGCTAATTGAAACGTATCTAGGTTAGTTTAAGGCTTACCAACCTTTTAACTAAAAGCATATTTTCCGAAATCGATTTCGGAACGTACCCTCGACGAACTGCGACGATCTCGACAGATTGATCGGTTCGGGCCCATTGATAAATTTCATTTCACGTCGCACATTTTCACGACAGATCAGACCGCGTCGGGACGAACCGACCGCTTCACTTGGAGGTCTGAATCGGATTTTGGCCGGTGTGAATCGCGCGAAGATCGTCTTGTTCACGGCTCGACTCGCTATCTTATCGGCGTCTCGACGTCACGGCGAAGATAAAAAGAAAGGAAAGGTGTGAGTGTGCGTGCCGGCTCTCGTGGCCCTGGAGTTACGCAACAGGCGCAGACAGCGGGCGTAATGAAGTCGAAGACGAGCGAGAGTTTCGTGGCGAGTGAAAGCAACGGGGTCAAGAAGGACGGTGCCGACGAGGTCAAGCAGAAACAGCTGAAGAAAGGTGAGAACCGGATGGGACCGTCATAAAAATGGCCGAATCGTTGCCACCGACTTCCGTTTGCGACTTCCGTCGCGAATCAAGCATATTTTTCGTTTTCTTCTTTTAACTTCGCTTTGATCGCCATTCGAACACTGATGATAACATGAGGAAATATTACAAACTTAAGGGGACAAAGTGACCTACGTGAACGAAACGCGATAACAAAATGAATTTTCAGTAAGAAAATTGATAGCTGTTATTATGAAAGATTTTATAATGACTGCCTCAAGCAAATATTTCATATTTTCTTTTCGATTCTTCAACACGACTCGTCGAAGTTCGTGTCAAAACTTCATTCTGAAGATCATGGCCCAGTTGTGAAATCCTTTCACTAATTCTTCCACATCGTGCTCTTCTATAATGTCGTTATCTTTAAATTTGGTAATCGTTTCCCCATCATCTCTCAGTGCGTCTGTTTGCATAATGGTTACTTAAACAGGTATTACCGATAAGAAAAATTGGCGCGGTGAAAACGTGTACGGCGAGATAACGTTGAGTAAACCATCAAGATACTTAACGTATCAATATTTTCATTGATCTTTGAAATTTATGGGAACAATGGGAGCTGATATACATAAGAGAATGCATAAGGTAAAAATACCAATGCTTGAATGCTAATAACACCGGTTAATTCTTATTGTTTTGAATTTTAAATATTTAAACTTTTTCATGAATATTCAAACTTTTTCAAAAAGAATTTTGAAATATATATTCAGTATATGTATGCATATTCTTTATTGAAAGTTTCTCGTAAAGATTGAAACAATAAGAATATCCAAAGTACTAGTGTTATATTAATGTTATATAAGTGTCTAGGCATTGGTTACTTTTACCCTTGCTCTGCATTCTAGTAAAGGTTACTTGTTTCACGTATTTCTTCTCAGACAACTAATTGTTATAGCTGATTGTACAAATATAATAGAAGTAGTCTTCTATGTACTAATACCCTTCATGATTCTGTTAACAGCATATTTTAATAACCAAACAAATATGCAGCAACGTGGCTATCTTGCTCTGGTATTGGGTTCAATTGCCGAATAGGGCAAGAAGAACACATATAAAATATGTATTTTGATTAATTACGAGGTCTCCACGAGAGGTCTCCACAGTCCCCCTATTGGCCCTTAAATATGAGCCAATTTTATCTTGTTCGTTTCATATACTCGATCTCAATCTTTTTATGCGTGAATGTTGGTTTTATTTTTCGAAACACAGTATATCATACACTTGCAAAAAACAAGTCTAGCAGTTTATTCGCTTACGATAGAGAATAAATGTATGAGTGGTCCCCTTGATGCGCCATTGAAAATACGTTGCTGAGCTTCACTACCTTAAATTGCACAAGATAACGGTTATCTTCGCAGTTTTTCCCGTACTTCCGATCCGCGGAATCGGTACTATCCATATTGTGTTCCATTCCTGAATAACGGCGCGCTTCGACAGAAATAAACGCGCGTAATTAAAGCTACACACAATAATGCTAAATATCGGTTTCGATAGTTGTTGTAATATTCTACGTCACGATCATCCGCATGCTTATCACGCTCCGTTCACTTCAACTGGTTTAAAGTCGCGTGTCGCGACGACGCGACACGACGCGACACTTAAATTGCACGATGCGAGAAGCCTGCGTATAATATTGTGGTGCCACGATATTCAGGAAAACGACCGGAATATTTGCATGTTTTACGTCGCTTCGCTCTCAGCCGCGAGTAGATATCTCCGTCACGATTTTCGTCGTTCGTGACGCGGCGAATCCGAAGAACGTGACGCGGCGCGCACGCCGAAGGCATTTTTTTAACGTTCTCCCAATACCCCTGGAGAAAATACGTACCGTGCTGTGTAACAATAGCATATAACGCGCGCTACGTCGTACCGGCGCACCTTTAACCTCTTACGCTCCTCTCTGCAATGCCAATTGGAATCTCGTCTGCGTGTTGCTCACGCGAAATCGAACATCTAAAATTTTCAAAAGAGCGTTTTCTTCAATTTATCTTTGAAGTTGACCGATTGCTTTGTGATCTGATATTGCTGACGGATAATCAGAAATAAGGGCGAATTTTACATAAGAATCTTCTCATACAAATTGTTGTCACTGTAAACTAAAATGTAAATTTAAGCTGAAAAAGCACAAAGGCATGTGTAAAGTTAGCCCTCCTTCCAAATTGAAGAAAGCGGATTAGAAATCTGAATGTCCGTCGAAGAGTTTCAAATTGATTTTAGAGATAATTCCGTCGTTTGAACTAGTCAAAATGCCATTTCAAAAAAAGGGGGAGGTATTTCGCATTTCTTGTTAGCCAAAATGACATACAAAAATCGTTCAGTTATGAAGTTGACTCTAATGTAACACATTAAAACATCACGAAAATAATAACGTATCAGTTGTATGTTAATTTTACATTGAGATAACAATCATAAATTAGTGACACAAGGAAGTTTTAACATTTGTACGCGAGATTTTTGTAATTTTGAAGATTTTGTAAAAACAGTGTAAAGTTCAGCTAAAGTTTACGTCTTACATTTACGGCAATTTGTAGGCAAAAACTTTAACCTGACCTCTACCTAAACTAAACTCTGATCGCTTAAAAGTGCGGAATTGCTTGCATTACGGCTGCAAGCCGAAAAAGTGAATAATATATTTGCTTGTGACTCTTTTGTGCATCGTAGTATGTAATTATTGTCATCTCGCTTCGTTAACGTCACCAAGTATGATGAGAGTTATATGTCCGTGGTACGATCGCAGTATGAGAGAGAACGTTTTATAATTCAGTTAATACTCCCCTTCATTTATCGTGGGATACTAATTATCGGCCACATGTATTATTAAGTGACTGACCGGGCGATTGTCATACAATGGGCACGCGTCGGAATATTTATATCTTGTTGCACGGTGTGCAATCGTTTTCTGCAACTTATTGCAGCGTGTTTATAATTATACGTCACCGTGCATGAAGCTTTGCGACTGTGTGGGAAAGCTATTTTTTACTTAAAACAAGTTTTATTTATAGAGATTTTATGTGTTGTGTAATGCGTATTTATATTCTTTTATCTCAATCTTTTATGCTCATCATTTATTATATTTATTTTCATTTTTTGACTATCTTCATCTTTTGTGATCATGTTACTTTTTTATTCTTTTTCTGTATCTGTTTTGTTATTTTTTAATCCAATCAAAAAGTGCTTCTCAGTCAACAAATATTATTATCTTCCGTCTTCCCCCTCCTCGTGAGGTATATTGTACATAAATGTTATATCGCTAAATGTGATATTTTATATATAATACGCCATTATACGTATAATTAGTTTATACGTTTTTTCTATTAAATATTACGTTGCGCTTCTATACGCTTAGCAAAAGCGAAGACGACGAACCGCTACTAGTGATAAGAAATCAGCCACAAAAACCACAGCTATTATCGTCGTATGGCCAGCGTCCTTTAACACGCACTATAATCTCTCTCTTTCTCTTTCCATCGACCAATTTTTATTAAGCCATCATTATGGAAAACGCAGCGTGCTTGTGCTAATCGAGGGAGATGTGGATGACTATCTAAAAATTCATTGATCATCGTAAAATGTTGTAACAGGTGTTTGCGATCATCGAATTATCAATTTCTAGCTGCGATGAATTCATACGTTATTACGTCAATCTGTTATCGAGCGCGTAATCGAGTTTGACGTTTCTACATTGATTAGAGTGACTTTAAGCGCGGACGATAATCAAGATTAACGCATTGTTCGTGAACGATTCTCGCAAGGAGAAGCATATGGTAGAGTGGTCATTATTGATTTTGATGGGCTTCGAATGTGTTCTTTAAGTTTCTTGAAGTGGAATCTCACTCAAAACGAGCGAAAAATTATTTTTACTCAAAGCGATAGCGAAAAACACTCGAAGTCGCAAAAGTGAGTGTTTCACTCAAGTTTAAAGTAGATTCTGACTCCATATAAGCGAATGTTTTAATCAATTAGAGTGAATATATTTCTGTGATGGTGGAGTACATCAGATTCACTTTTCAACTTTAAATGAAAATAATCATCCAACAGTTCACAGTGGAGGATTTAGTCTATATGAGTGAACAATCGTTGGAACTCGAGTGACTCTCTGGTCACTCTTTTCGAGTAAAATTTCTCTAAAAAATTTAGGATATAGAACAGCTAAAAGTAAGACATGTATTTTCATGAAAAAATACGTGTGCTTTTTCGTACGTTCAGGAGTTCAAGTGACCTCGTATATTACGGTTTTTTTTAGACTCTAGGAGCAATTTCAGCAAAATCAGCGCAAAACTCAGATGTAGAAAACTAATCTTAGCGGAAAGAACAGCGGCTGAAATGTTTTTTTGCTTGGAGCAGCGGAAAGCTGACGCAATGTGTCTTGCATATGTTCATTTCATGCTGACTACACGCTCATCATGCGCGTCTCGACGATATCTAAGCGGAAAGTACACGTGTTCTTTCATCTTCCTACGAGATTATATCTGGGTCTTCTCACACAGTATAATATAAGACTATATATATATATATATATATAT